TAATCTAGGTATATTGTCATACATTACATAATAAGTTTGAATAACAAGGAAATATTTTTAAAAACATTTAAATATTTAAATGGCTTTATGACTATGACCTTACATGATATCTATTCTGATTGATCAAAATACGAGAGAAATTAATTACACCCCCCACACACATACTATACAATGTATTTATTTGTTTTTCAAAGGAAATGTGGAAAAGGACTTTTTATGGAAATCTTTTGGTTACTATAGTTATTATTTTGACATCCATTCAAGCACTAGTAGAATAGCAATATTTTGGGAATAATTAGGCATTATTGCAGCTTGAAATGGTATGAAGATCAATAAAGACTAATGAGACAATTCAAACCAAGAAAGAGTGGTTAAAACAAAATCAGTTAACATTTTTCACAACTCATGATTTGAACAGGAGTAAAATATCAAATTTTATTTTGTAACTGTGATCAAAGCAATTGGTGATTAGTTATTTGTAATTGTTAAATACAAACAAAAAACCATAATATGCAAGTCTGATTATACTGTACATCTTTTATTACTAATAGTTTCAATTGAGGCATAGATTATGCTGGGGATAATTACCAGAGTGGCTAAAAGTGCATAAAACATATTAACAAGTATTTTTGAACCTTTTTTGTAATTTTAATACAGTAAATTCAGAAGTAATGGTTTTTTCATTTGAATAAACTAAGTTTTCTGCTAGGTCTCCAAAAACCTGACCTCTACACCACCTTCACTTTGTCACATTACTCTATCTGGTTCCTATAACATTTGAGAATTTGTCCTATTTAATTTAATAATTTAACTGTAATTTAAAATAGAATACACCATATACTGTAATATAAATTGACATTTTTGCTGCAATTTGATTTGACTTTTTACTTTGAATTAGTAGTTAATGTTTGCTTGTGTATACATTTTATAGGCTTAGAGCAAATAAAAATTCATTTTGTGTGTGTTGCTAGTATTAGTATTTTATATACTTATTCATACATTTTATAAATATAGGTATGAATACCAACATACATATACTGAATTCTCATACAAATTTATATAAGATGTTTTCTTCTCTGATTTTTACGAGAGAATACTGAATACAATGAGTTCTGACCAATTTTATGAGAAAATATTCTAGTCAAAAGTGAGACTGAAATATCCATATGGTGCAGTTGAATTTGGCTTGTAGCTTCTCCATTAGACATCTCCATTTTCTTTTTAGATAATTCCTGAAAATTCTGTAATCCTGCATCTGCAGGTTTATAGAATTCTACTGGTAGTTCAATGATCCAAAACATAGTATTTACTTATATTTTGGCTGATTAAATACATTATTAGATGCATTTCAGGCCAACTTATATTTTATAGCCCCTCATCAGTAACTAAAATTATTAAAAGCTAGGTATAAGTACAAAATTAATTAAAAAACAAATAATGAACATAAAAGTAATACTAAAGGAGGGATATGGCACATGCTAAACACTCATATTAATTGCTAAAAAATCCTGCAGTGAAACTGTGGTTTCCATGCTAACCTCCCTGAATTTCAGTTCTTATTGGCCTTACACATTGTGTTCTAGCATGCATTTTATGCTTTATTATATATGTATACTCTTATTGTTTTTGTTATCGTTGATTTTAGTTTTATGATGTTTTTATTTTTTATCTACCATTATTGTTATACTTATTGACATAGTTTTCAATTTCAGCTCATTGTGAATGATCATTTTATTATACATATTACTGTATTTTAAGCCCTTCTCTTCATTTCTATCATTTTAACATGTCAATGAATTGCATATTGCTATTTTACATTTTCTATTATCTTCTGCTGTCTTGTGGTATGATTTTATGCTTTATTTATATAATTACTTTGTTTTTGGTTTTTGTTAAATGATTTTTATGAAGCTTTTGGTACTTGTTTACATTGGTTTATTATTATAGTTGATGGTTAGTAGATATAGCTTTTTAAGCTTTTTTTGGCTATTTTTATATTTTATAAACTACTATACTATATTTACAAGCAAGTATCATTGTTTATTTTAACATTTTACCATAGGGGTTGGCAAAGCATCACCCATGAGGTCCTTGCATAAAACACCAATAAACCAAACCAACCTGTTTTAATATCTAGATATTAATATTTATACAGTGTTAATTTTGCTCATGATTTAGAAATTAAGGATTAAATCTTTTTAATAATAATTGTAGAATAAATTTTAATGAAATATATAATTCAAAGTTATAGTAAAAATTTATGATTACAATATTACTTTTTCTCAATCAAAAATAAATATTTACCTTTTTTTTATTAATGTCATTTGTAATGCAAATATATAAAATTTGTTATGTGGGGATAATTACCAGAGTGGCTAAAAGTGCATAAAACATATTAACAAGTANATTCAGTGTTTTTTAATATTTTTCAAAGTAAACTAGTTGTTTTACAAAAGGGTTCATTAAGTTTATAAAAATGTTTTTTTCAGATTGTCAATTTCATTTCATATATAAACAAAAAAATTATTTATTGATCTGCTTGTGCCAAAATTCATCCATTACTTACTTATAATCTAGGTATATTGTCATACATTACATAATAAGTTTGAATAACAAGGAAATATTTTTAAAAACATTTAAATATTTAAATGGCTTTATGACTATGACCTTACATGATATCTATTCTGATTGATCAAAATACGAGAGAAATTAATTACACCCCCCACACACATACTATACAATGTATTTATTTGTTTTTCAAAGGAAATGTGGAAAAGGACTTTTTATGGAAATCTTTTGGTTACTATAGTTATTATTTTGACATCCATTCAAGCACTAGCAGAATAGCAATATTTTGGGAATAATTAGGCATTATTGCAGCTTGAAATGGTATGAAGATCAATAAAGACTAATGAGACAATTCAAACCAAGAAAGAGTGGTTAAAACAAAATCAGTTAACATTTTTCACAACTCATGATTTGAACAGGAGTAAAATATCAAATTTTATTTTGTAACTGTGATCAAAGCAATTGGTGATTAGTTATTTGTAATTGTTAAATACAAACAAAAAACCATAATATGCAAGTCTGATTATACTGTACATCTTTTATTACTAATAGTTTCAATTGAGGCATAGATTATGCTGGGGATAATTACCAGAGTGGCTAAAAGTGCATAAAACATATTAACAAGTATTTTTGAACCTTTTTTGTAATTTTAATACAGTAAATTCAGAAGTAATGGTTTTTTCATTTGAATAAACTAAGTTTTCTGCTAGGTCTCCAAAAACCTGACCTCTACACCACCTTCACTTTGTCACATTACTCTATCTGGTTCCTATAACATTTGAGAATTTGTCCTATTTAATTTAATAATTTAACTGTAATTTAAAATAGAATACACCATATACTGTAATATAAATTGACATTTTTGCTGCAATTTGATTTGACTTTTTACTTTGAATTAGTAGTTAATGTTTGCTTGTGTATACATTTTATAGGCTTAGAGCAAATAAAAATTCATTTTGTGTGTGTTGCTAGTATTAGTATTTTATATACTTATTCATACATTTTATAAATATAGGTATGAATACCAACATACATATACTGAATTCTCATACAAATTTATATAAGATGTTTTCTTCTCTGATTTTTACGAGAGAATACTGAATACAATGAGTTCTGACCAATTTTATGAGAAAATATTCTAGTCAAAAGTGAGACTGAAATATCCATATGGTGCAGTTGAATTTGGCTTGTAGCTTCTCCATTAGACATCTCCATTTTCTTTTTAGATAATTCCTGAAAATTCTGTAATCCTGCATCTGCAGGTTTATAGAATTCTACTGGTAGTTCAATGATCCAAAACATAGGATTTACTTATATTTTGGCTGATTAAATACATTATTAGATGCATTTCAGGCCAACTTATATTTTATAGCCCCTCATCAGTAACTAAAATTATTAAAAGCTAGGTATAAGTACAAAATTAATTAAAAAACAAATAATGAACATAAAAGTAATACTAAAGGAGGGATATGGCACATGCTAAACACTCATATTAATTGCTAAAAAATCCTGCAGTGAAACTGTGGTTTCCATGCTAACCTCCCTGAATTTCAGTTCTTATTGGCCTTACACATTGTGTTCTAGCATGCATTTTATGCTTTATTATATATGTATACTCTTATTGTTTTTGTTATCGTTGATTTTAGTTTTATGATGTTTTTATTTTTTATCTACCATTATTGTTATACTTATTGACATAGTTTTCAATTTCAGCTCATTGTGAATGATCATTTTATTATACATATTACTGTATTTTAAGCCCTTCTCTTCATTTCTATCATTTTAACATGTCAATGAATTGCATATTGCTATTTTACATTTTCTATCATCTTCTGCTGTCTTGTGGTATGATTTTATGCTTTATTTATATAATTACTTTGTTTTTGGTTTTTGTTAAATGATTTTTATGAAGCTTTTGGTACTTGTTTACATTGGTTTATTATTATAGTTGATGGTTAGTAGATATAGCTTTTTAAGCTTTTTTTGGCTATTTTTATATTTTATAAACTACTATACTATATTTACAAGCAAGTATCATTGTTTATTTTAACATTTTACCATAGGGGTTGACAAAGCATCACCCATGAGGTCCTTGCATAAAACACCAATAAACCAAACCAACCTGTTTTAATATCTAGATATTAATATTTATACAGTGTTAATTTTGCTCATGATTTAGAAATTAAGGATTAAATCTTTTTAATAATAATTGTAGAATAAATTTTAATGAAATATATAATTCAAAGTTATAGTAAAAATTTATGATTACAATATTACTTTTTCTCAATCAAAAATAAATATTTACCTTTTTTTATTAATGTCATTTGTAATGCAAATATATAAAATTTGTTATGTGCATCATTAAATTTTTAAATTAAAATTACATAGAATAATAAATGTTTTGACATATATATATTTAATTTTTAAAATAGGAGTGTTGTTAACTACAGCTGCTCTGTCTTATGGTTTATGGTGTATGCGAAGTGGTAATCGGTACAGGTCTCAGCTTATGATGAGAGCGAGAGTTTTAGCCCAAGGTTTTACAATAGGTGCAATTCTAGTCGGTCTGGCTATTGGCATTTCCAAGAAAGATGCTGAAAAATAACTTGTATAAAATTACTTTTTATGTACTTAGCGTTGTTTTTAAATGCAGCAAAATGTAAAATAATAAATTTATATTTGGACACATTTGTAAATAAAATATGCAAATAGTATCAATTGTTTTAATAAAGAATTGTGAAAAAGATAAATGTAATGATTTTTATTTAGTATTTTTAAACATTATTTTTCTTTACATATTCATTTGTAACATTTTAAATTTTACAAAAAGTTTCAAAAGCCTGAAATCATGTACTTAAAATGTACAGAGTACAGTATATATGCAAATGTTGTGATACTCTTGTGGGATCAAATCATACTTTCATTCAAATATACAGTATATATTTTTTAAAAGTAAGAAAATTTAACATTTTTCAATCTCAGGCAATTTGCAAATGAAATGATCTATTTATGCTTTGTCAAATATAAGAAAAATATCTTGATAGATCACAAATAAAAATAATCAAAAAAATTTTTAGAAATTTCTTATCTTGAAACCTCATTTTACATTTCTGTAATAACGAAGAGGTTTTTTTCTCTCAATTTATCTTCCCAAAACTTAAACCGAAATTTTTTCAACCGAGCATTTAATTTTAAGAAATATCAGCTTCTATAAACATTGCGACCTATGTAAGAGGGATACTACCTCTTTACACATTGATGCAAATAGTTTTCTTATTTTTATAGTAGTAAAATTAGTTTGTCTTGTAAGTTTAACTTCTGTAATGTCAAAATTTTTTAAACAAATCAACCGTAATTTTACATTTTAAGCTGATAATACAGGTAAAATGGAGACACGTTTAATCAGAAAATAATTTTAAATATTTTTATTTTAAAATTATGGCATCGCAGGAATCTAATCTAAATTCAAAATTGTGCGCTAATCCAAAAATATTGGGAAACACTGCCATATGCATGACCAACCACAGACTCGGGTTCTCATTTTGTCTATACCAGGGCTTATTAAACTTTTTTTATTCACGACCCCATTTATGATTGTGATTTTTTTCGCGACCCCCTCCCCCAAAAAATATATATATATAAAATAAAGATATATACAAATTTACAAAAACAATAATGGTGTACTACCACAGTTCACTCTTGTGTTACAATGGAACAGAGACAACTGAATACACTGAAAAGCGACAACACTACACTAGTTCACACTACAATCAGTGTTGCTGAATCGTTGTCTCGCTGCACCAGAAGTGACACAAAGCGCAACTCACGAAACCTAAGACACAAAGCATGCCATTTTCAAACTCTCAAATTATTTTCAATATTTTGCACTGAAATCTCGCGACCCCAAGATTTTGCTAAGCGACCCCAAATGGGGTCGCGACCCATAGTTTAAGAAGCCCTGGT